GGATTGCTTTTTCATTATGGATTATAAATCTAAAATTATGGTGGTGGAGGGGGGGGGGTGATAACTTAGAGGGGGCGTTGATTGGAAACAATATGGTAATTAACGTTTAAATCAAATTAAATATCAGAAGTTTGCAATAAATAAAGAATAAAAGAGCTCTTATTTATACATTGACTTTAACTCGGTATGTTGCATGTGAATTATAAAGAATTAAGTCAAATTTTGATTTTATAAATAAAGTAAAATAGTTAGGTCCATTTTAAGTTATAATTGAGTGCTTTGTATAAATTTTTTTTTTGTGATTCATTTATTGTAAAACATGTTTTGTACTTTGATCTGTACGATTATTATATAATATAAAGGTGTATAATTGTAACTTTTTCTGAATGCCATAGAACTACTTTTTTAAAAATTTGAAAGACAGAACTACTTTTTTGGAACTACCTTTCCTGTACTGTGTGCTAGGTCTGTTTGTACTTAAACTTGCTGGGTGTAAAAAAAATTAATCATAGCAAAATTATTTAGCTATTTCAATTTCTTTCAAGTTTCTATAAACGTCTTTTATTGCAAAATTATCAGAACTATTTTTTTGTCATCGAAAGTGCTATACATGCCTGTCAGTGGTTATTTTATCAACACTTTGCTGTTCATTTAATTATTGTATCATTGCACACTTTCAAAATCAGGCAAATATTACCGATAAATCGACATAAAAAGTGTGTATCTGATAAATTTTGATTAATTGAACATTTTAATCATTTTTACTTGCAAGAGTATGTACGAAGTTTGTCACTACAAAAGTTTTTCAGTGTGTGTTTAGCTGCGTTAATTGAAATACCAAGTGTTTATTTCCTATGTAAATTTTTGTATTACTCCATATAGCTGTTTCCAAAGTTTATTGAATTAAACATTAAGTAATTATGATAACAATCGTAACCCTTTTTTCTTGCTAAATATCTTAAATGAGCTTGACCGTCTTTCGATCTGGACAAATCCATTTATCATTTTTAGGGAAAATTTCAAAATAAGTATTGACTGCATAGTGAAACAGTGCAGACCATGAGTGCAGACAACATTTAATGTGCCCGGCTGATCATGATCGGCGCTGGTTGCATGGGGAGAATCCATTCCCCCCCCCAGCAGGCTAAGGGTTAAATTACATCTTTACTAAGTTACACAGGGTATACACTAAGGTAATACAGCAATATTTAATATGGGGTTTTTGTTTGACTGGGTTTTAAATATGAAAGTATTCTTTTTTTTTTTATGTAAAATTTTTATAAAAAAGAATCAGTTTTGTTTGTCATTATTGTAAAATGTTAAACAATTTCTCATATATTTTCTTTTTTTTTTGTTTCTTGGTATGACTGTTGACATATTGAACAATTTTCTGGTTTATTACATGTTTTGGATGCTCTTTTGAAAACTGTTTAAAACTAATCTCTATACATGCATGCATTTTTTTTTTCAAGTTAGATACATGTTTTAAATTCTTTTGGCAAAAGTAACATCATAATTTATAAAGGCTGACATGGTTTTTTGTTGGAAAGAAAAGGAAGAGTCGTATATACAATGACAAGAGTAAATGTTTGGTGGAAAATAGTGCTGACTTAATCCCATTGTCTGACCAATTATTGAATAAAACTTACTAATATAAAATTTGTGTTTGTTTTTAGCTCACCTGTCACAAAGTGACAGGGTGAGCTTTTGTGATCGCTTTTCGTCCGTCCGTAAACTTTTACTTTAAATGACATCTCCTCATAAACCACTAAGCCAATTTCATCCAAACTTCACAGGAATGTTCCTTTGGTGGTCACCTTTAAAAATTGTTCAAAGAATTTAATTCCATGCAGAACTCTGGTTGCCATGGCAACCGAAAGAAAAAACTTTAAATATCTTCTTTTAAAAAACCATAAGAGCTAGAGCTTAGATATTTGGCATGAAACATCTTCTAGTGAGTGTCTACCAAGTTTGTTCAAATAAAAGCCCTGGGGTCAAAATTGGCCCCGCCCCAGGGGGTCATTGATTTTCCCTATATGCATATAGTAAAAACTTAAAAAATCTTCTTTTAAAGAACCCAAAGAGCTAGAGCTAAGATATTTAGCATGAAACATGTTCTAATGGGTGTCTACCAAGTTTGTTTAAATAAAAGCCCTGGGGTCAAAATTGGCCCCGCCCCGGGGGTCATTGATTTTCCCTATATGCATATAGTAAAAACTTAAAAAATCTTCTTTAAAAGAACTCAAAGAGCTAGAGCTTAGATATTTGGCATGAAACATCTTCTAGTGAGTGTCTACCAAGTTTGTTCAAATAAAAGCCCTGGGGTCAAAATTGGCCCCGCCCCGGGGGGTCATTGATTTTCCCTTTATGCATATAGTAAAAACTTAAAAAATCTTCTTTTAAAGAACCCAAAGAGCTAGAGCTAAGATTTTTAGCATTAAACATGTTCTAATGGGTGTCTACCAAGTTTGTTCAAATAAAAGCCCTGGGGTCAAAATTGGCCCCGCCCCGGGGGGTCATTGATTTTCCCTATATGTATATAGTAAAAACTTAAAAAATCTTCTTTTAAAGAACTCAAAGAGCTAGAGCTTAGATATTTGGCATGAAACATCTTCTAGTGAGTGTCTACCAAGTTTGTTCAAATAAAAGCCCTGGGGTCAAAATTGGCCCCGCCCCTGGGGTCATTGATTTTCCTTATATGTGTATAGTAAAAACTTAAAAAATCTTCTTTTAAAGAACCCAAAGAGCTAGAGCTAAGATATTTAGCATGAAACATGTTCTAATGGGTGTCTACCAAGTTTGTTCAAATAAAAGCCCTGGGGTCAAAATTGGCCCTGCCCCTGGGGGTCATTGATTTTCCCTATATGCATATAGTAAAAACTTAAAAAATCTTCTTTTAAAGAACTCAAGAGCTATGGCTAAGATATTGAGCATCAAACATGTTCTAATAGGTGTCTACCAAGTTTGTTCAAATAAAAGCCCTGGGGTCAAAATTGGCTCTGCCCCTGGGGTCATTGATTTTCCTTATATGTGTATAGCAAAAACTTAAAAAATCTTCTTTGAAAAAACCCAAATAGCTAGAGTTAAGATATTAAGCATGAATCATCTTTTAGTGAGTGTCTACAAAGTTTGTTCAAATAAAAGACCTGGAATCAAAATTGGCCCAGCCCCGGGGGGTCATTGATTTTCTTTATATGTGTTTAGCAAAAACTTTAAATCTTATTTGAAAAAAACCAAATAGCTAGAGTTTAGATATTAAACATGAAACATCTTCTAGTAAGTGTCTACAAAGTTTGTTCAAATAAAAGCCCTGGGGTCAAAACTGGCCCGGCCCCAGGGGTATCATTGTTTTTAACTATATGTGTATAGTAAAAACTGAAAAAAACTCTTCTTTTAAAAAGCCCAATGAGCTAGAGCTTAGATGTTTAGCATGAAACATCTTCTTATGGGTGTCTACCAAGTTTGTGCAAATAAAAGCCCTTGGGTTAAATTGGCCCTGCATGTTGGGGGGGGGTGGGGGTTGGGGGGGCCTATATACAGGTGAGCGACCTCAGGGCCATCATGGCCCTCTTGTTTATGGTTTAGTCCACTAGTGGCGAACTCGACATAGTTACATAGTTGTCACAATGGCGGTTTGGTGTATGTGCATGTGTCCGTCCGAATGTGCTTGTCCACTTCATAACTATCACTGTCTGGTGGAATTTCAAATAACCTGGCACAAATGTTCAACATCATGTTCGTGCATAAGAACTGTTTGACTTGTCAAAGCTCAAGGTCATACTGCAAGGTCAGATGTCTGTTACAACTTAACATGTTGCCCTTGTAAAACGTTTTACATTACCAAGGTTCATGGTCATGGCTTCTTTTACAGATATAGTCTGGAGCCGACATCTGTATGTATTTCACTGTTAAGAATTATCTACCTGCTAAGCTGCACAGTGAGATACATAACCCAGGGAATGCTTGTTCTACTGGTTTTATCCTTGGCAAGGGTGTAATTTCTCCATGACAATTGATCTAAAACATCGAGTCTAATGGTCATTTGTCTTTCAACAGTGATTCAGAAATCATGTGGGATTAGTAGTTGGTCACTTGCAGACAAATTGAGTGGTATCTGTAACTGAGGGTTAGGTTGACTTCAAAAACCTTGCCCCTCATTGCTGTAGGTTGGAATCCCGCCACAGACTTGGGGATTTGTTCAGTCGAGGAAGCTTACCAGCTAGCTTAGAGAAAATTGTTGGTTCTACTTAGATGCTCGTCCCTTCCTGAAATAATGCAGAGGGGCTTCTTCCACCAGTAAAACTGGAAATTCACCATATGAACTCTGCAAAATAACTGGCAAAGTAGGTCACTGACTGGGACAGAGTTTGTACCATGTCTGATAATAGTTTTGATTAAGTACAAAAATAATATTTCTAAGAATCTACGAGCACTTGAAGAATGTCCGGACCTTTTCAGACACTTGAGTAGAATTTAAGCTCTTTGTTTAGAGCCACCTTTCATTTCAGGCACTTGTGCAAGACCACCAACCTTTTCAGGCTGCACTCAAAAAGAACCACAAATCTTTTCATGCAGCTCAATTGAACCAACAACCTTTTCAGGACCACAAAAATATCCAAATTTAAGATGGGGATATAGTGCTATTCCTGATTTGCACTGTCAAAACAATTTAGCCCATAACCTCCAGAAACCAAGTGATTAGCCTTTGTCACCAGTATAATCAGGCCAGCCTGCAATTTAACCAAGTTCCAAGACTGTTGCTGGCTCAATTTTTGTATTTTGATATTCAAATCCCTTACACACACAATTAGCAGCAGGGCATATGCATCAGATAAATCTAGCAGGTCAACAAACTTAAGGATATGTTGAAAATCAGGTTACCCTCATGGACAGGCTTGTCAAACCGAGTCTGCAATTTCCATGTAATTTTGTAAATTATGCTTCCAAGGGATACATGTCACCATTCTTCCAGATTGTAAAAATAATGAAAAACTAACCAATTTAAAAAGTTTGTCTTTTTATTTACAAAGTCACAATGTACAATAAATGTTTTTAAGAATTTTTTTTCATGAGATTTTTTTTACAAACAGAATGTATTACGATATGAGTAAGAATAAAATGATGATACCATGTGAACATAATAAATGTAATCTTTACAACAAAACTGAATAACGCATATCATTTGTCTAGTCTCCTCATGTACATAGCTGCTCGATTTATCTAATATTTCAACAAATTGAAGGAACAAAAAATAAAAAAAATTCCAGAACAATATATCATCACTCCCAAAGGACTGGAATCCTGTCCAACAAAAGGAAATATTGAGCATTATAAAAAAAGGATTTTTTTTTTTATCATGTTGGTTTAAAAGCCACACCAACATACTGTTTACATGAAAGAAAAGAGAACCGTAGAATGAATCTAAAAAAATAATAAAATGTTTAAATGTAAAAATATTTTAGATACCTTCATCTATTAAGTAAATCAGACTTGCAAAGTACCACTATTAACAAATATATAAATGTTGTAATCAGCACTCAATATATATATTTGTTAAAAGCAACACTTATTTTTTTCATCGCAAAAATGAGATCAACTTAACATAAATTGTATTCTTGAATAAAATGTTCCTTTTCTTATAGACATTCATACTACAAAATCTAAGGGTTCCACTCACCAGCTCTATATAAATCTACCACTATTTTTATTCTATTGCCTTGTATTTCAAATACTGGTAATAGTATAGCCCATATACATTAAAAACACACTCGTACACCCATTAAGTCTTATTTGAATATCTCGAAAATTCTGTATTTAAAGTTTTGCTCACACATAAGTTTTATTTGGTGGTCTCAAAAATATTCTGTATTTTACATTTTGCTTGCACACCCGTAAGTCTTTTTTGGATATCTTGAAAATTATGTATTTAACATTTTGCTCGCACATCCATATGTCTTATTTGGATATCTTGAAGTCTGTATTTAACATTTTTTTTGTTTAAAAGATTCTTGAATTCAGGAATAATCCTTAAACCATACACCTATGACATGCAATACCACTTAACAGCCATCTTGCACAACATAAAATTTGGCAGGTGACACATTAACTAGTTCCTTTTGGTCGAATTTTTCGGGAATTGCTTAAAAACACACAAACTGGGACTTTTTTCCAATATGTCAATAACTAATAATTAAAACTTGAGTCACCTAAGCTCTATATCTCAAAAAAATATTATATATCTAAACCTAAATCAGTAGAACTATAAATAAAGTTAACTAAATATGTTCAATTGAAAACACACATGAAATTGATATATAAAAAAATAAATACATTTGGAATATAATCAGTGACTGTTGCAACAGCATATTGTTCGTTCTAAATTATATAAAACCAAACAATTTAAAATCAAATACTATGTTCTCACTATATTTACTTTAATACAAGTTGTAATAAAATAAAAACATAAATTAAAAACATTATAATTTTCACAATACACCTAACCGATTTATCATATTATTATTTATGCCCATGTTATAATAGTTTCACCATGATATTTATGTCTCACAGCAGCCTTTATCACTTTACTAAGAGCACATCTAAATCTTTTCTGTCAATATTCACTGTTTTGTTCCTTGTTATCCAATTTCACTTACAAATGTTTGTTTTTAATATCACATATCAATGTGCTCCTATCAATCTGTGTCCATCTGAAAGTAAACATTTTTTTTTTTTAATTTATATAGAAAACATGTATAGTCAAAAATATCTAATCTAATTTTCAATGGAAAGTAAAACAGGAGATAGCAGACATCAAAACATGGAGCTGGTTTGTAAACTGGTTTGTTCAAGGATTTACAAGTTTCGATCATCTTAGATCTTCATCATGATACTTTTCACTGATACAATATTACTGATTTTCGACGGATAATAACAACCTGTCATTCTATTTTTCAATAGGTAAGCATAAAATAGCAAACTAATTTTCAATGGCTTTCCAATGATATAAGTAATTTGACAATACTGAAAATCAACACTAAGCCAAGACTTTAAATCAATTTCGTAAAAATTAAATTGAAATTGGATTGTAGTGCAGTTCACATAAATGAACATTGGATGTGAACACCGATTTGCCCTTGTTCTAGTGACATACCATGATGCAGTGATTTTTTCACCTTGTAAAATAACAGAGGCCAAATAAGAAATCTTTAAAATCATGCAAGTTTTCCCACGAATCTGAACTTACATAAGCTAATCTACTTCCCAAATTAGTAATTTTTATGATAATTTTCCTCAAAATCAAGAGGCTAAGGCTTCTTTTTAATTACATGAGAAAAACCACTCAAATCACTTCATTTGGTTCCAGCAAAGCAAAGGTTTGAGAAATTTCATTCTATTACCTCCAGTGCTTTTGTACTTGGAAATGGGATAATCAACACCAGTAAAACAGTCTGCTATATAACTTTCTTATAAATAAATACAGAATAACTTATGAAACATATGCTTGATTAACCCTTTTTTGTATTTTTTATAACGGTGGGTAAGGGATTTCTATATTTGAAACAGTAAAATTTAATTTGGGTCAAAGTTTTCTATTGTCAAAACAATATTAAGTTAATAACAGAAACCACTCTTTGTTACCTTTGCATTGTAAGCATCTAATTGTGCGTCTAATTCTTCAGCTGTGAGTGATTTTTTATTTGCTGCTCCGCCCCCGCGTCCACCACCTCTACCTCCTCGGCCACGGCTCCCTCTGCCACCTCCTCCTCGACCTCTACCACCACTAAATCTGGAAACGTACAATTCATTTAGCCAAATAGTCATACTAATGAATATTCTGATAAAGACCTTGCTACATTCACACATTCTTCTCTGTAGCATTATCAAAAGTTTCGTTGTTTGATTCCATTTATTTATAGAATACAGAAGCAACACCACTTTTTGTCACAATGAATCAACGGTGGAACTCTCATCCGTTTAACGATTAGCATTGATAGGTCAACAACAACACACCTCAGAAACATTATTTAAAGTTTAAGTATAGAAAAAATTCTCTAAACAAATTTAACATAAATTATATCAATCCTTTTTCTATATACATGTTAAAATGATGTTACATTTATTTTCGAAGTGTTGCTCTTTAAGATGCATTGTAATTCCATCTCTCAAACCTATGGCCTACACATCACTGAAGATTTGAACTAAAAATGAGAAATATAATCCCCTATTTATGAAGTAAATTTTTTTCGGTACAATTGTCTTTTTTCTTCAAAAGCAAGAGTGTTCTGTAAGACATCAGGCTCCACTATTTTCGGTGCTTGACAGTTAGGAAAAGGGCATAGGTCTGTAAAAAGTTAACTTAAAGTTATGGGACCCATGCCAATCCTTTTAGATAATCACAGAGAACAAGTGTGTTTCAATCCATTTTGGAGACACCAATTTACCAACGCAAAAACTGTGAGCCTAACACCGAAGTAAGTACATTTTTTTTTTCTTTTTTCTTTTTTACAGGTTTTGTCTGTTTTTGCTTAGAATCCTCACAAAGAATAGAACACAAAAACAGATTGTATTCTTGTTATCATGAATTCAATTGTGACAATATAACAAAACGAACAACAAAAAATCAAAAGCTGTCCGTTTTAAATTAGCGGCATCGAACTTTTTTTTGCTTCAATAGAAAAATCTTTCTGATAAATAAAAGTGCAATAACCCAAAACTGTATTTCTGAAAGTTGGGGAAAAACATGACATTTAAAGATAATTTACAAGAATTTGGTTTAATAATTAATTTAGGTAAAAGTTAAAAAGTCCATAAAGGAATGAATTTCTCTTAAGATTCTCTAACCTTCACTAGTGTCTTGGGCCTACCACCTACCCAAAACCATTCGACAATTAAATGGCGAGCATATTTCAAATAAAATCCATTTACCAAAATTACCATTCTTGAACATTTTTGTAGAATTTTCAAATGCATTTAGAAGAAATAAACTTTCAAATTAATATATCAAAATGGTTTCATCAGAGTTACTGCACAAAAAACTTCCCAAGATGTCTAAGTCGATAAAAGGCCTTAATTTTTAAAACAAATCCTTGACAGAGTTACCTTCTCTTGCGTACAGATGGGGGTAATGATGTGAAATAGCATTAAAAGTTTCAAAAAGCAATATCTCAAAGGGTTAAGGCAATAAGTGGATTTACCCCATATTCAATGTATTTTCTAAGTCAAAAAGGGGCATAATTCTGTCAAAAAACCTTGACAGAGTTATGTCCTCTTGTCTGTTGATGAAGGTCGTGATGGTAAACAAGTATGGTCAGTTTCAAAGCAATACCTCCAATGGTTTTTGAAATAAAGTGAGGTGGTACAAAAAACTTAACCAAGCTCAATACACTTTCTAAGTCAAAAAAGGGCCATAATTCTGTCAAAAACCTTGACAGAGTTATGTACTCTTGTCTGTAGATGGAGGTTATGATGGTGAACAAGTATGGTAAGTTTCAAAGCCATACTTGTAATACTTCTGAAATAAAGTGGGGTGGTACGAAAAACTTAACCAAGGTGTGACGCCGACGCCGGGGCGAGTAGGATAGCTCCCCTTTTCATAGAAAAGTCGAGCTAAAAATGTGTTTGTTTATATTTTATGGCAATTTTTACAAATTTTTTTTGCCATATATCAGAGGTAGATCCACCTAACCATCCTTCCTGGATAACTAACCAGTGACAATTTCTAATGCCAACTGATTTCTGAATGAGCTGTGAGAGACAAATGACTATTTGACTCCAAGATCAACTGTCACATAGAATAGGTGTAATAATTCAACCTTAAAAGTGTTCAAAAGTTAAAAAGCATCAAACCATCAATGGGAAAAACCTCTAAACTCTTACCCATTTGATCGTCGCTGACCACCCCTTCCACCACCACTAGTGAATCTTTGGCCTCCACCACCTCCGCCGCCACCACCACCAGTTGCTCCTCTACCTAATCTACTGGCTGGAGACATACTTTCAGCTCCTATTAACTGTATACTCATAGGTCTACCTAAAATAAATACAACTTTCTTGTACAGTCTTTATAATTGTAGATATTTACAACCTGCATATTAGAAAAGAAATAATTTTGCTACATAAAATATAAATATGGTATTATCTAGAGTTCATGCGTTAAACAGACTTCCCGAAATATGTCGGTCCTACAGACATGTCAGATATATATTGATTAGGTCTGACTATTCTTTATTCCAGATTGGTTCCGCTTTTATATAAACCACGTGTAAACACAATGGTGTAGCTTTAATATTACAAAGGTGCCAAAGTGCCAAATCTGGGAAAAAATGAAAATCTACATCAGAGGAGTGCACAGAACAGAAGAAAAACTATGAAAACAATAAATCCGACAGAAAATTTAATGAAAAATGGAAGAAGGACCATGAATGGTTGATGTATGACAGAGATGAGGTGAAAATGTGTTGTATAAACTATGCGGATTTTACAACGAAAAAATTAAAAACGAAGAATCTTAGAAATATAAACACAAGTTTTCCATTAATTTTATTTAATTTCATTTGGTCCGACAGATTTTCATGGTATGTCGGACCAAATGTTGTTTTTTTTTAACTTTCCGAGAATCTGTTTGTAATATCAATCAACTCAATTTAAGTGTTAAGGATTATCCTGAAAATTAAATATGATAAAACCCAGTCAATAAAAACTTTCTTTTTGCCAAATTCATTGGATAATTTTTACACTAATTTATTAATTGGTTTGTTGGGTTTATTAAATTATTTCAATGCCGACTTTAACATATTTCTTTTTTGCAATATCTTTGTGGTCATTCCATCTTAACGACTTTCCTGAATATCTAACCAATAATTACCAATTTCTTCAGAAGTGACAGACTACTAATTTCACATGATTTCTGAATCTGCAGTGCAAGACGAATGACTATTAGACTTAATGGCAGTGATTGATTGCCAAAGGAAATATTGCTTTGTCCGAGGACAGAACCAGCGACTTACAAGACTTACCATCAAGTGGTACATTATTATATTGTTTTAAAGCTTTTGCTGCATCTGCTCTTCTTTCATATATAACTTCTGCTGTACCTAGAGATCTACCTGAGCGATCGTAATGAACACTGGCTTTTCTTAATGGACCAAACTCTGCAAATAACTCCTGGAAGTATAAAATTCAAACATGTTAAAAATTTTCACATTACAGAAAGTGTGGCAGTAAAAATTAACATAACAATTCAACTCTCTCAACAGACACTTCCAATGCTATTAGACTAACAGGCTTGATATTTGCTGTGTTATGGCTACATTTCAGAGTATGAATGAATGAATGAATTTCTTTAGATCACGCGCTCAGGGATAACCTAAGAATGTGCAGGCACATTTCCAGTAGGGTCCTTACCTCAGCAGACAGTTATGAGATACAAGGGAATCCCTGAACCAGCCCTAGCTCTTGTTGAATAGACCCCTTGGTTCTTTTAAATGTCCAGTGTATAGCACTAATACATGCGAGTATTACCTGGGTTTTATCATTAAACCTCTAGGTAGGTAGGAAACTAAAAATCCCAAGGGTGTTACCCAGGATCAAACCTGGAACCACAGGAGTGACAATCTGACAATCAGAGATCTAACCAATTGAGCTATCATGCCACCTAAATAAGGACATCATGAGATATTCCAGGCAGATTCTAAAAATGATTTGCCCATCCAAGTGTAAATGAAAATTGCATAGGTAAAAGTAAAAACTTGACATTTTTCTATAATTGTGATCAATTTAATACTACATTTGCACACAAAAAATAATCCATGTGACCCATGAAAATTTCTATAAATATCATTAGAAAATTACAGACATTAATCATTTATTGCTTAAACTTTAAAATTTATTATTTAAATATTAAGCACAATATTTTACAATATATGAAAAAAGATCTGTGCTAACTCATTGATTTGGTTTTAGTACTAGGGTAATATGCAAGGCAATTACTAAAACAAAACTTCCCAATATTAAGTATGTATCAATCTTTTCTATACTAATTATTACATACAGGGCTGCCAACAGCAAATTGCAAAATCCGAGGAAAATACGCTGGGGGTCAAGGGGGCTGCGCAAGCCCCCTTTACGGGTCCAGGGCAGAGCCCTGGTGGGGGCCCAGGGGGCGAAGCACCAGGAAGCTCCTGGATTCTGATGATTTGGTATGCTCTAAAATCAATTTCCTGGACTCTAAATTTGACTTCCTTGGTTGCCTTTAAAGCCATTCAGAGACACTTTAGTTGGACTTCAGGTTTTCATCAGCCCTCAAAACAAATATCCGACATTTTGACAACAGACAAGAGCGACAATGTAAACTGTAATTTGATTGGTTATTCTAAAATAGAATGCCCGCAAAGACTCGATTTGACCAATGAGAAAAGCGCTTACAGACGTACCATAGGCGGCTAGCGTAACGATAAAAGCCGAAGCGTGCCGATTTTTGGGTACTGTATAAAATATGACAAATGAATTTATTGTCTTTGTCGAATTTACATCGATCTCAAAAATGACCCAAGACCCGCGAATCCGCGGAAAATCGGCAGCCCTGTACATAAAGTTAAATCATTTTTGAATATAATACTGTATTAAATACATTTACAATATTTGACAATTACTTAAAATATTACCTGTATATCCGACTCACTGACACCAAAATCTAGATTTGAGATGTGTAGTTTTCCTGAGCTAGTTACTATGCCACCACCACCAGGTGCTGACCTTGCTCGTTTTATGCCACCTCCAGCTCCACCATCAAACATGTCATGCTGCCAAACATCCTCTGCATTGCCTTTACTTGGCTGCAATAATAGTAAACATTCAATTAATAAAAAGCTAAACAAAAACTCTTGAAACCACATTGAATTAACATTTATCTGAAGCTATGAATTGGATATAATCCAAGTTCAGTAAAATGATGCATAAGTAAATTTGACGAGATTTTAAATAGTTAGAAGAAAAATCACTGGTTACTACAGAATTTACTGCCGGCTACTTTTATGGAACAATGATAAACATGAGAAAATGATTTGAAGGCTATATGCTGGAATAGACCCCAGGTCTAAACCAGGAGTATAAATAAGGTTCATTCCATTTTCTTTAGTGTATTATACAAGTTTTACTACTAAAATATACATAGGGGTCTACTGATTTGAATCATCAATCCAAGTCCTGGTACTGCATTAATCCTGTCTATGCAATAATCCTCGCTAACCTCAAACTTTCAGAATATATTAAAATTTACAAGAGGACTGTTATTTGATCAAAAGTGCTATAACTTCATATGAAATTATACTAACAGAACGGGCCGGTCTATTTACCCCAAGACACCTAACAGAACTGTTGTTTTGATTTATAATTAGTAAATCTACATTTCTTAGATATCTGATAAGAAATTATCAAAAAAGTAGTATACTCACTGATCTTCCGAATGATCTGTTTCCACCGCCACCACCTCCCCGGCGTTTCTGAACTCCTCCCCGAAAAACTCCCCGGCCACCACCACCTCTGTTTTGACGGCCACGACCGCCCCTGCCACCAGAGCCGCGCCCGCCCCTACCGCCTCTTCCACCTGGCTTTTTATTTGATTTGATGATATCATCTAAGCTCATGTCAAGTTTGTCACTCATTTTGGATTTATTTTAGATCGTAATAGTCATATACTCGGTCAATTTTCTAAAGTTAGTTTTCCGCGTGTGAAAAAGCTTTATTTCTTTGGCGGTCTCGACTGGTTTACAATTTCGTGACTAAACATCCGTTTCTGTAAACAATAATTGTAAAAACTGAAACCAGTCTTAAATATCAACTGCATTTTGACAAGTTATTAATAAAATCAAGTATTTAAACTGTAATCATTGTCTCATTAAATGTTCTTTTCATAGTGTAAATAAAGTATTTTTTCATTACATTCATATTAGGTAGAAAAATATTTTGGTTATTGACACTTCCGGTTTCAATATTTTTATTTTTCATTGATTGAAGCGGTCATAAAACTGACTGCTGAAGCTGAGGTCTTGGAGATAGCCGTCAAATTCATTTTATTTGGACTTAAATGCAATAATGATAAAGGATAGAAATGACAATCAGTTCAAAAATGATGGCTCATAACGCTGACGCAAAACCAAGAAATTTGGTTTTTTCTAAAGTTAGTAATTTCATTCATAAAGTAAGATGATTAAAAGGAGAATCCAACTGTCAAAATTATAGTATGAATGTTGAAAAATAAATATATATTTTTATATAAAATAGCTTGAAAATTATAATACGCAATAAGAACCTATCCATTTAAAAAGATTTGAAATTGAATGAGACATCTTTATTATTTTTTTTTAAACTTAAGTAGAGTAATGAGATGTGTCAAATTTTCTGAAAATGAAAATATCCACACACTGCCAGTTTTCAATCACAACCACTTTTCAATCACCCCTAGAAATTTTTTATTTTTGACCTTATTTGTCATGTAACCAAACTGTAAGCACATCTTGTACTCCCCTTGACTAAATTTATCAGCAGCAATGTCAATTTAGGCGATAAAAAAGAAAATGCTAGCATTTTAGTTCAAAATATGTAAAAAGTGTGTTTTCCACTAATCCTTTATTTACACAGTTACAAATCGCAATAATTTTCTAAAAATAATTGATATACAGACTCAGTTTTTTGTCAGTCTGCAGAAATGGATATTAAGTTGAACAACTGTTTCAATATCATGAAGTCATAATGTATACTGCACTTCAAAAGTTGTAATTTTAATATGTACATATTTTACCATACAGTTCTTAATTGGAAGGTAATACATCAGTAAAGTAACAGTCACTTAACCAAGGAAAAACATTCTCTGTGATAACTTTTCAGTAAGCAGTCACTAGAATGGGGTCATATAGACCCTAAGATCCTAAAAATTTCACAAGAACATGCTTTTTCTGTTATGCAAATTGAAATGTACATCCATACCCCAATTACGACAGCTTTACCACTGCAAATAGATATCAAGATTGAAAAATGGCATTATAATTAGGTTAAAATTGTTTATTACCATTTATCTGAAGTTGAGTATGTCAAAATTTCTCCATAATACATAACTGATCATATTTTAACATTGTATGACAATTTTTATGTGGTACAGTTTATATTTTGTTAACTGATTGAAAAGTGGTTGTGAAATTTTAAAGAACAGGAAAATGGGTCAGTAATGATTTGTCCTCGATTCATAATAATAATTCAGGTAAAATTAAAAAAAGTTGGTGCATTTATTAGCTAAAATGATAATATTCGCAGAATTGAAAGAGATTTTTATTAAATATAATTTCGCTGTCAGTTATTGTTGAAAAATCTGTTAGCTGATCGGAAAGAGGCAGTACGGGGATAGTTGATAGTTGTTCAAATATTTGTGTAATGCATGTTTAGATATATTATTTTGTAGAATCACTTGAGATTTAGTAATATAATTGAGTAGTATTTTACTTTTAAAAAGGATTGAACATGTACACTAAAATGACAGCTAGGGTGATAAATTTAGTCCATTCCCACAACCAGCTCATCTGGAAGGCATATATTGTATTCTAAATTACTGTACATAAATTATCATCTGAAAAAGTGCCTGTTAAAATGGGTTTGTTCCCAATTTACTTATATCCAAGGGTGGCAATGTTGTGTTTCCATAAGGGCTATGTAGTTTGATATAGTGTCTTTATGTAAAAGAATGATAAAACAAACCACAAGATTAAAAATAAAATATAAAATTATCATCTCGAACATTTTATTAGTAAAGCTGTCAGCAAGGGATCCAAAGTATTGTATTTGTATACAAATAACACTCTTACCTTATTTAATTGTATTCAATCCAAACCTAATGTAAATTGTAATTATGGATTATGTCACATGTTTCTTAAATAGACTGCATCTTATTGTACAAGTTTGATAAAATTTTTGCTTAGCTTTTACCTTTATCATAGATTATTATTGACACATTATGTATGTTATAACATGTCTAGATTATGTTTAAAATTTACTCAGACATGGATTTTATCTCATAATTTATGACATTTAAAAAGTTTCAAGATCTTTCAGTTTGAGCAAACTCTCCAATTATATATCTTAGTTGTGAAAAACTTAATGTTCAGTTTGCTGTCATACTGAAGCATCTTACTATTGGTTTTTAGCTCATAATTATGCTTTGCTGTTTAACTGGAAAATTAAACTAACTTAATATACAAATATTGTGTGAAAGATGTTATTAACTTATTAACAAGTTTGAGATAGGCTTTGTTGTTCATTCAACAGAGCAACATGGGATTTTTGCTGAAGTTATTTTTTAACACATATTTCTTTATTTGTACATGTAAAAGTATCATGTGCCATTTTATGTTATGTATAATGTTGCTGTTATTTGGTTTTATTCCCAGTAGAAAAAGTTTTCCAAACTATCTGAAATTTTTATAAAAATTTCCAGTTGAAACTGCGATTTCTTTTTTGGATCACTTGCACAAAGTGATCAGAGGTGAACTTTTGTGAAAGAATGGTGCTTGGTATTGTTTTTTTGTGTGTCATTTTTTAAAAAACAATATCTCCAACTATTAACTGTAAGATTTTGACCAAATTTTACTGGAATGACCTCACAATAAGCTGGTCAATGAAAAATCAAAGAAATGCTAGTCGGAGGCATATTATGATATGTAGATCACAGGAGCTAAAATGGTCTTAAATTAAAAAATATTCTCATTAGAAACTAGATATTTTTTATCACCTTCAGGTCATCATCTATTAATCATGGACTGAGGGTCAAACTTGGCCCTGCCCTGGAGGTCACTTAGTTTACATAGATTAATATGGGAAAAGAAAAGTCCTCTTGAAAAAAAAATCAAAATATGCCCATTAAATGAATCATAGCCTTTATGTGAAAAATGGCTTGTTTCCTATATGACCCAGTGACCTACTTCTGAGTTCTCTATCGAGGAATTCTGGTCTTTTCTAGCAGTGTATCTTAGGGCCATCATGTCAGAAAATAGACCAATGGTTAACAATTCCATTTAGACATAATTTGACAGGTTTCAGACTAATAGTCAAGTTCAGATATTTAGGCATTTAATATAAACTTGACATGAATGATATATACATTTGACATACATGTAATATAACAGTGGTCATTTTGTTCATAATTATCTTTGAACTATTTAAGTCAAATGACAATCTTCTTTTGGTCAGTTGATAAGGAAATTACATTTATATATCATGTTGAGATATAGAGTAATTCAAAGAAATTCTTGCACTGGTCTTGTAGAAGTTAATTCTAGATATATTCTGATTTCAGATAGAAAGATTGATAACATTCATGAATGATCAGAAAATTGGTGTTCCACTAAAAGACAAGAAAAACTTTCTCTATTCCACTGTACATAATTCTTTCACAGGTAAGTTAATTAATTTTCATACATGTATGCATTGGCAATGAGGGGAAAAGATTACATTTTTTGCTTACCTGAGCACATTGTGAGTTTTTGTGTTACCACTCTGTCCATTGATTTACTGTCAACAATTTCTTTAACAACATCTTATCTGAAACAAATCTTAATAGGAATGATCTTTAGGAGGTTCTAAAAGTTGTTCAAATGGTTCCAGTCAGTTGCATTATGCATTGTTCACGAAATATGACTTAAGATATGATTTGGAGGTAGGTCATTATAAGTAGGTGACCCTGTTGATAATGATTCAGTAAAAGGTCAGCGTCACCATGGCATTGACCTTTAAACACTTGTCCGACTACTGACCACAGAATGTTTAAGTCTATATTAAAAAATCTGTGTATTCTTTAGCATTGCAAAAATTTGTGATTCATGAACAGATGTGAATTTATATTCATAGGGCAGGAGGTCCTTTTAATTTGATTGTTTACAGGACCTGGTTACAGTTTCAATTAACATACAGCATTTTACACCAATATCGTTAGCACTTAACTTTGATGCTGATGGTCTCATTGTTTTGTCATTCATATCAAATCAGAGTAATTAATACTTAGTTAATTTGTAACTTTTTTATAACTTATATATTGATCAATTAGGCCTGATTTTTATTTTGTTCTTACACATAAGGACTTCCATCATTTCAAGGAGGAGGCGTATTCATAACATTACAGGCTTTATTAGAACAGGGTTATTATTTGCTTTCGAGTTTAATGTCAAATATATTTACAGGTTGGCTTTTACACAAATCAGTTCACAGCTGAAAAGTACTTTATGAATAAAATGTACAATGGAATTTCTTTCCTTCTTCAGAACTGTTTGGTAAACTGACCCATTCCTAGTTACTTAAAAATGCTATTTTCCAAGAATGTTGCAAAGATTGCTGGCCACAACTTCTTCCCCCCCCCCCCCCAAATGAACTGGTTTCATAATTAAAAAAATTCTTAATTTGACAGTCCCAGACTAGTTCCCAAATGGGTGTGAAAAAAAAAGAAGTAAAATGAGTACATTTTCATAGAGCAGTTTAAAAAACTTAATGTAATTTGAAACTTTAACATGTAAAAAGGATTACCGGGTATGTTCAAGTTGTTTATGGGAGAAATTATTTAACATCTTGTGTTGATCATAATTTTATGATTATAATAAGATAATCTGTCTTGTTTGCCGCATATAATTTCTCATCCATTCTTTCACTTACAAAATGTAAAGTCCATGGTCAATAAGATACATGAACGTTTATGCATCTACACACATACTACATACATTTGTATGTCTGTTATAGAATTAT